GAGAGAGAGAGAGAGACTTATAGATCCGAGGGGCGCCCGCGCGCGTGCTGGTGGTCACATCAAACAATTCCTCATTCCCGATATACATGACGCCGAGCACCCCCCCGCCCCGCCACGCCGCCAGGTTCAACATCCGATTCATCATCATTGAGCCGAGGGTGACGGCCCGCGTCAGTGCATTGCCGTTCACATCGTCTCCTCGCGTCGTCCCGCGCCGCGGACGTCCAAAAACGTAAACGTTTCACGGCAGCTCGTCACGGCCGTGACTCACCGTCCAGGGTCCTGGCTTGCAGCGCTTTAATTAGCGTTACGCTCGACAAATGGGTGACGGACAGGAGGGCGACCCGCGCGGGGCGTGGCGAGCGGGGCGGGGGGCGGCACAATGCAGAGCGCGACAAAAAGTAAAAGCGACCCAAACGGCCTGCAAGAGGCCAGCACCACGGGGCGCCCAATAATGCACATAACTGCTGTTTACAGTGCGACCTGGAGAGGCTGGCCGGGTCCATCGGGCCGTGTCCATTATATGGGGTCATTCAGCCCCATTGGGCGCTCCTCTACGGGACTGCGGGGCGACGGCTTTGTCGTGGCCCTTACCTGCCGGCGGAGTCACCGGCCGCACCGGCCAGGCTGACTTCTCCCAATGCCAAGAATTTTAATTTGGGGATGGCCTGCCGGGCTGGCTGCCTGGCTGGCTTGCTGGCACTACCGGTGCCGGTTGATTTATTGGGTATCAATATTTTGAAGCGGTTATAATTGTGCGTTTGTCTCCTGAAACGGCAGCAGCAGCTCAGGTGCGCGAGTGACAGGGCGTCGCTAACGCGCGCCCTTGTCTCAGTCTCTTTGGCCTTATGAGTCTCTTGAGGAGCAGGCGGACGCACACAACAAGCTAATACATCAAGAACGCGAACAACGCGGAACCGACGGCACAGAGAACATCCAATTATTTGAGCAGAATCGCTCGCTCTTTCTCTCTCGAAAATGCGTGTCGAACGCAACAAGACAGGAGGCGAGCACGCGAGTAGTGAAACTAGGGTAAAGGCGATGCGATAGCAAATAATAAAAAGGTACCAACCTCCTTGTGAGTTGGGCGGGTAGTTGGGCATCCAGGCGAAGTGCGCCGCGAGCGAGTTGGGCAGGCCGGACCAGCCGGGCGCGTTCCTCCTCGCCATCATCATGGACACGGCGGAGGGGTGCAGCGGCTGCGGGAACAGCGGCTGCACGGCCCCCGAGGGCGGCGGCGTGCCCACCTCGCTGCCGTCCGCCTCGGCGCCAGCCTCGCTGCCAGAGTCCATCGAGTTCTCCGAGTGCTGGTCGCCACGCTCCGCGTCTCGTCTTCTCCGCAGCTTGTCGGCCGCGTCCAGCACCTCGCCGCCGTCCTCACTCAACCTCCGCTGCGCGGCCTCGTCCTGGCCACCCACGTCGATGTCCACGTCCTCCTCCAGGTCGCTGTCCATGTCCTCGTGCCGCCGGCTGTCCTCGTGCGACGACTGGTAGTCCCGGTCGCTGTCCTCGCTGTCCTGCTTGAGCTTGAGCCGGTACGGCGTGGCGCACAGCGAGGTGGGCGACTGCGGGGGCGTGTGCATGGGGTAGGGCGGCGAGGTGCGCGGCGAGCGCAGGTGGCCGTTGACCATGGCCGGGGTGCGCACGGTGAGCTGCATGGGCGAGGACTGCAGCCTCAGGTTCAGGGCCGACTCGTTGTGGAAGACGACGGCCGCGTCCGAGCGCGGCGTCGCGGGCGAGTCGCCCGGCGTTCTGGCGCGGTCCAGGTGGGGCGCGTTGCGGGCGGGCCGCGACGTCGGCGTCGACGACAAGAGCGAGTCCACGCTAAACGACAGCTTGCTGCTCTGCTTCATCTTGGTCGGCAGCGGCGGCGACGACGAAGGCGTGGCGGCGGCCGTGATGGGGGCCGGGGCGGCGACGCCCACGCCGACGGAGAGCAGGGCGCGCATGGTGTCGGCGGGGACCCCGTTGGGGACGGAAGGCACGGACGATACACACTCGGCCGAAGATAAGGCCACACTCATGTCACAAGGCGGTCACACGCATCGCACCACTCGACACAGCACTGATCACAACACCTTCTTCACGCACTTTGACGACGACGATGATGACGGCACGACACTCCGCTCCGCGCACATGTGCGTGCTCAGTCGCCGGGGGACTTTCTCAGACTAACGTGACGGTGCGGCCGGAGCCGGGCGGGCTGGGCTGTCCCGCTCCCCCACCCCTACCGCCTTCCCCCACCCACGCGGCCGGCGCCCCCACCCTCCCCAGCGGCCGCCCCCACCACGCCGGCGCGCGCCTGGCTCCGCCTCTCTGGCAAGCCCCGCCCCTCAGCGCTGCCCGCGCAGGCCCGCGAGTCCCCGCGAAGCGCGAGCCGAGGACAGGAACCCGACACCGGCCCCTGCTCCTCCTCCCCTTCCACTCCCCACCCTGTGCCAGGACCCTTTGGAGTGGATGGGAGAGCGGGGAGGGGAGGACAGGGGTGCGAGCTGGCTGTACCTTTATACATTGCTCGTGATATGAAATAAAACCTATTATCCTTTTGTGTTTTTGTTGTGGAGCTTCGGATCGCGGCGGCGGCGAGCAGGAGCCGAGCCGAGCCGACTCGCGGCCGAGCGCAGCCGCGCCACACGCCGAGGCCGAGCCGAGCCGGGTGCCGCCGGGCCCGCCTCGAATCACACTCACTCACTCAGCACGCCAGTCACTCCATCCCGCTAAAAGATTTATTTCCAAATGAACGTTGTAGGTATCACAATAATAGTTGACTCGGGGCAGCGGCAGGCCAGCGGCAGGCGAGCTGCTCCAACAGATGTTGTTCTGCAGGCGTTTTGAAGTGGATTTATGGGGCCGTGCAAGCTCAGCGCGCGCTGCGCTCAGCGACACATACGGCTCTCGGCCGACGTGAAGTGGGTCACCAGGGTGTCATCATTAGTCTTTTGTTACTGCCGTTGTTGTAGCAGAAAAACGGTGCCGGACATGAAATGATGAGGACATTGGCGAGCAACGAGCCTCCGGGGAGTGGGCGGCGGGCGGGCGGGCGCGCCTGGGGGGCAGGCAGCGCGGGGACAGCGGGGCGCGGCGGGCGGCCTACCTCCCGGCGGAGGGTGGCCTACCTCCCGGCGGGGGGAGCCGAGCTTCAGCGCAGTCTGCTTCGAGCGCGGCGAAGACGCGACGCTTGGGTAGTGCATCACTCAACCCCTTCTTCTCGTCTCTCTCTCTCTCTCTCTCTCCCTGCCGTTCCATTTTATCGCCACGATACCGCCGGGTCGCCGCTAGGTGGCGCGCGCGGCGCGGCGATATGTCGATGCAGTTATCGTGACACGGCATCGCCGTCGCGTCACACCGCGGAAGAAAGCGGCCGAGGCAGCCGCCGCAGCCGCCAATAAAATTTTATTTTTATGTAGCATTTTTCCGTTTGGGAAAAGGGAGCAGGCGAAGATAACGTGACACGGACCCGCCGCGCCTGGATCTAGAAGGAGAAGCAGGACACATGACTCCAAACCCCCCACTCAGGTCCCCGATCCGTTTAGCAACGTCACCAGCTGCAGCTCTTCCCCGTGCGCGGGTCCCCGTTGAAGCAGGGGTCCTCGCGCCGTCGCTGCAGCGTTTTTAGAGGGTGTGGCAAAAATCGAGCGGTACGTATGGAGGTTGGGGGAGGGGGGGACACGTGCGGGGTGCGCCGTGATGACGCCGTAGATGACACGTGGGATAAGGTTGACGTTGACTCGCCTCGACAATGGCTGTTTGATCGGCTAATCCGCGAGGCACGCGTCGGCCAGCGGGGCGGCGCTCACCCACCCACCCCGCGGGGTCCCCACCCGGCCGCAATAACCAATTATAATTATTTTATACAAGAGAAAAAGTCCCTCATCCCACAGAATATCCACAACTTTTGCAGTTAGATTTCTTTTCTTTCTCGTATTAAAAGGTGTTCCCTTTTCTTTCTTTTTTTGTTTGATATAATGATTTTGCCACACTCTTTTCATTTGATTTAATAATAATGTGACAACGGCGGCAGCAGGTGGGGCGGCCCACCGCAGCCGTCGTGGCGACAGAGGAGGAGTCATTTCGCCTCATAACGTGCGCAGTAATAACATTTTATTCTCATAGCCACTACCGCCCCCCCCCCCTCTCTCTCTTTCGACCTCTCGCTCTCATTCTCTCCCCTTTCGCCTCACGCGCCGTCGTTTGAAATTAGTAGTGTGTTTCGTTTGTCAGAGTGTGCGTTGCACAAAAGGCGGGCACCGCATAGCGTTCCGATTCGATCCATCGGGTAGTTTTCGAGGGCAGGAAAACTAACCAGTGATTACGCTCGGCAGGGAAAGCTCGCTCAAGTTTTAAAAGCGGCGGAAATTATGGGATGCTTGCCGCTCAATGTTATCGCAGCCGCCGCGCCTGCAAATATAAACGGCCTGCACACCCCACGTGTAAT